GATAGTCAATTTAATTTTGCATTTGCCTTGCAATCAGCTGCTCCACCCTCCCTACCATGAATTTACTACCTCTGGTGACAGCTATCCAAACCTAGGAACACTTCCATCTCTAGCAGTCCCTCCAAAATAGACTGCAGAGATGGTTTGTGGGAGGTAAACTCTCTCAGCTTTTGCTTATCTGGAAATTGTTTAATCCCTCCTTCACATTTAAATGATAATCTCGCCGGATAAAGTAATCTTGGTTCCAGGCCCTTCTGCTTCATGGCATTAAATACATCATGCCACTCCCTTCTGGCCTGTAAGGTTTCTGCTGAGAAGTCTGTTGTTAGTCTGATGGGCTTTCCTTTGTATGTGATTTTATTTCTACTTCTGGCTGCTTTTAACAGTCTGTCCTTATCCTTGATCTTTCCTATTTTAATTTCTATGTGTTTTGGTGTTGTCTTCCTTGGTACCCTTATGTTGGGAGATCTGTGGATCTCCATGGCTTGAGGGACTACGTCCTTCCCCAGATTGGGGAAGTTTTCAGCAACTACCTCCTCAAAGACACTTTCTATCCCTTTTTCTCTTCTTCTTCTTCTGGTATCCATTAATGTGAATATTGTTCCGATTGGATTGGTCACACAGTTAGTTCTCTTAATATTCTTTCATTTTTAGAGATCCTTTTTTCTCTCTGTGCCTCAGCTTCTTTGTATTCTTCTTCTCTACTTTCTGTTTCATTTATTGTCCCCTCCACCATATCCAACCTGCTTTTAATACCCTCCATCATTTTCTTTAATGATTGGATCTCTGACCTGAATTCATTCCTGAGTTCTTGGATGTCCTTCCTTACCTCCATTAGGATGTTGGTTATTTTTATTTTGAACTCCCTTTCAGGAAGAGTCACGAGGTCCGTATCATTTAAATCTTTCTCGGGAGTTGTATTAATAATTTTACTCTGGACAAGGTTCCTTTGGCGTTTCATGTTTGTATATGGCGCCCTCTAGTGTCCAGAAGCTCTGTTCTGGAGCTGCTGAGCCCCTGAAGCTAAGTCAGGGGTCGCAGGGGATCGGTACTGGGCGTAGGAAAGAGCTGTTCCCCACCTCCTGGCTCCTGTGCCTGTCTCCACTGCCTGAGCCAGTGGGCCGGGCACACAGGTATAAGTTTTTGTCCCAGAGCAGCCATATATGGATCCCTGCTTTCCACAAGCAGCCGGAATCCCAGTCTCCCCAGGAACTCTGCCTGTATTAACTTTCCAACCCGGTAGTCATGCGAGTCTCATGAAAGCACCATGAAATGTAGGTTTGTGCTCCCAGAGCAGATCTCTGGAGCTAGGTATTCAGCAGTCCCAAGCCTTCCACTCTCTCCCTGCTCCGTTTGTCTTCTTCCCGCCGGTGAGCTGGGGTGGGGGAGGGGCTCAGGTCCTGCGGAGCCACAGCTCTGGTACATTACCCTGTTCGCTGAGGTCTGCTCTTTTCTCCAGGTGTGTGCCGTCTGATGCCATACTCTTTCTTGTTGCTCTCTCAGGATTAGTTGTGCCAATTAAATTTTCTAATTGTATCCAGTTTTAGGAGGAAACCTCTGTCTCTCCTCTCACGCCGCCATATTTAATCTTTATCTCCTCATTTCTTTCTCTTCTTTTTCTTTTCTGCTATTGAGCTTGATGGTTTCCATTACTGTCTTCCAAGTCACTGATCCATTCTTCTGTGTCCACTAATCTGCTCTTGGTTTCCTCCAGTGTATTTTTTCATTTCATTTATTGTATTCTTCATCTCTGATTGGTTCTTTTTTGTATTTTTTATTTCTTAAGTCTTTCTTGAGTTCATTCTTCTCTGAAGTCTGTTGAATATCTTTATAACTGTTACTTTGAACTCTTTATTTGGTAGGTTGCTTAACTCTGTTTCATTTAGTGTTTTTTCTGGTTTTATCTTGTTCTGTCCTTTGGAGCATATTTCTCTGTCTCCTCATTTTGTTTGATGGTCTGTGTTTGTTTCTATTAATTAAGTTAAAAAATTACCTCTCCCAGTCTTAAAGGAGTAGCCTAGTGTAGGGAGGTCCTGGGTAGACTGTGTGTACCTGGTGGTTTTAGCTGGAGACTGGGTGAGGCTGACGGGAGTGGGGGGCTTGTCCTGGTGTGGGGTCTGTGTGTGCACATGAGCTGTGCTGGTGAGGTGGTGGCAGGTGGAGGACATGTTCTGGGGGTTTCCCAGGTGTGTGCCAGCTGGCCACAGTGGCAGGGCAGTGGTGGGCTGCGGGGAGGGGCACAGGTGGGGAAAATTCGGTAAGTGCTACACTAGTGCTGCCTTGGCGGGACTGTTGGGCCGCTGTGGGGCTTGTTTCGCATGGGCAGGGCGGGTGGCCACCTCTACTGTCTGGATTTGATTTGTGTGCCTGACCCTGCTCCCAGCCACACTGTCAGCATGTGGAGGGGAATGTAAACAGTGGTACTCATCAGCTTTTCCTATCCCAGGGAGAATTCTGCAGTTCCTCGGCCGTTTTGGGTACATCAGTTCTGAAAATTGGTTTCTTTCACTCACAGTCTATATGCACTTTAAGCTGTGGTTTTTTCTGTGTACCCGAGGGCAGGCCAGTCTGCCCTCAGTTCCCTCAGTGATATCCGTCCCTACCGCAGGTTGCTGAGTTGAGAGTGGGGTTCCCACAGTTACCGTGTCTTTGTTGCTGCTGCTTTAATGGGGGCTCTCTATCCCTCAGGTGGAAGGTATTCACCTATGCCTTGGGCTTCCTCAGGAGTAATTGCTTTGTATATAGGTATAGATTTGGTGCATAAGGAGAGGTGGGTTCAGGTTCTTTATATGCTATTGTCTTCTACAACCTCTGGTTGTATTCTTAACCTAGAATTTTTATTTGAATTCATAAAAGCTGAGATTAATCAAGATATTGTTATATGTAAAGAATTTCTGCTTTAAATATGCTCTTAGTTTATTTGCTATAGTAAATTGTATCATCTGCCTTGTAAAAGCAGTTACCATCAGTATAGAGAAACCATATCAGGTGTCAGTGACCCCAAAATTAAAAATGTTGAAAATACTATTATTTACTGCTTAAATTCTTCACTACTTCTTGTTTTAATTGCTGTGTTTACCCAATAGTAATAATAAGAATTATTTGAAACTAAAATACAAGATTAAGCTTTTAACATTTTCTTAGTCTAGTATTGGTTACCAGACATAAGAGTATGAATGTTAAACTATAAGATACCGTTCTAGAAATGAAAGCTTCAAAGACTTCCTTGACTAGCAGAAATACATGCTTATGAAAGAATAACGAATTCTGTGTTGCAGTTGCTAAAATAAGAATCTTTAATGATAAAAATTTAGGTGAACCTATGATCTGTTATATAAGGTCGTTTTAAAAAAATTAAAATTTAAAAAGTTTCAGTATACTCTTTAAATGTTTTAAAATATTAGAAAAATTAAAATAGTCAGTCTTTTTATCTTGTTTCTTTTTCTTTTATTTAAGTGATCACATGGTTAAATAAAGAACTAAATGAAAATCAGCTGGTGAGAAAGCCAGATGTGTTGGGATCTTCTACCACTCCGCCTGTACACTCTAGTAGCAACACAGTCAGAAGTGGAATTTCTCCTAATTCTAATGTGGTAAGATTTAAATTAAGATGTGAAGGGTCTTAGTAAATTTCCTCAAACAAAACATATTCCCAGATAGTTTGGAATTCTCTATGACTTACGGTGCTGGCACTAATAGGACAGGAGTCCTGCAATTAGCACAGAAGTAGAGTTTAAGATGCACTTAGAAGTGGGATTTGCTCATACCAAAGAGGCTGTACTTCAAGGCACGCTGTGTAAAATTTTGATGGATACATAAATCACTCAGTAGTAACTAAAGCAGTGCCAAACCCACTGAACATGCACACAGTATATTTAGGAGGCCTCAAGGAGAGAGAACAGGGTTTAGGCTCAAGTTTGGAACTACAGTAGGAGCTTAAAGTGAATTCTGTTTGAAAAAGAAAAGAAGAAAAGCCCTATGATCAGGCATGTCAGCTCTAGATTCTAGAAGAAACCAGTTATGAGATATAAGCTTCTAGCTCCCAGGACCAGATCTCTTGCCTTTTCCATGCAGGAAATAAGAGGGGAGAAAAAGAAAAGCAGCTCTTTCTTTTGAGTGTGGGAGTCAGCTTGGTCCCATCAGTTAGGCCTAGGTGTCACTTGGAACTGGCCTAGCTCTCATAGCTAGGCCTGAGGGCTCTCCTGTTGAACTCATCAAATTGCACAGAATATCAACATTGGACAAGGCCACTGTGTGACTGAGATGGTACAAGACAAAAGCAAGACCATCCCATAATTGTGTCTGAACACAGACAAAAATAATTTCCAAATCACACAAATGAGCGAGCATGCTTCTATCCTGCCTAATGTGAGTGACTGCTGTGGCTTCATTACCAGTTATAGCCTTGACCTTAATACCTCCAACCTCATTAGATAAAATTTATTCAGATAATCGAGTCATACAGTTATCCCCATTTCCTCATAGTGTCCAGTTCACAACAAGGTCCCTCTTTCCTAAACTGTCCCTTAAGTCACCTGACATGTGTCTAAGCCCAATAAAAGTCTGTTTTTTAACACCCTCTTACTGAGACTCCCCTCTCTCTAGGTTTCTCATGGTGTGTAGTCTCCCCTATTGCAAGGAACAGCAAACCTCATGGTGTACACCTCTGACAAGTTTCTAGTAGTCTTTGGCTGGAGGGCACTGGCAAAGGATTAAAAATGCAGAATATCTAATTGAATTTTTAATCTACTCTAGTAAATCAGGTAGCATTTGAGGTTTAAAGGATGGAAGGAATTACTGCTAAATTGGAAAAGGAGCAGAAAAAAGTAACTGGTATTGAATTACAACTTGAAAAATTTGGTAGGTTTAACTTAAATAACTGATGACAAATAGCTGTGTGAAAGGTATTTTTGTCATATGGCCACTGATGTTGCTTCTTAAGATTTGTGTTTCATTCGTCCTCTTACAACAATAAACTGTTTTCATAACATTAGTTAATGCTGATGTCACAATTTGAAAATTAGTGGCAAAGCAAATTATTGTTCTAATTAGTATAAGAACACAGATTGTTTTTATTCAGTCTGGCAGAAAATTACTTTTATCCCTGATATTGGTCTATGAGTTCAGTGCTCCCAAACACCCTTTTCAGAAATGGGAGTCCTAGAGAGAATCAAGATGGTCCAGAGATCTTTGTTTTAACTTAGTTCAAGGGCAGGTTCAGTGGTTTGTTTTGTCTAAGCTTGCATAACTGCTCTGAAACCCCAAGTGCCCAGCCTCATGCTTTATAATAAAGCAGTTTTGTGGCGTCATGGAAAACAAAACTGGTCTCTGAGACTGTGCTCTTAAACTATTAGTTGTTTTATAATAGATGCTGATGTCTCCTGAATCAGTAAGTACTATTTAGAACTAATTTCTCATCCTTACCCTTTTTCATGTTTTTATTTTTAGGTTGATGGTAGACTGACTTACCCAACCTGTGGGATTGGTTATCCTTTCTCATCTGCATTTGCATTCCAGAATACATTTCCTCATCCTTTATCTGCTAAAAATACTATCCACCCGGTTTCAGGACCAAAGGTAGCCAAATTAACTAATACTTGAAAAAAAAAAAATACAACAACTTACTAACATACAAATATTTTTCATCTTTAAAAAATTAATTTATTCTTTGATCAGTTGCTAAGTATTAGGTAATGTAGTAGATGAATATATTACTGAATATCTAGTACATATGCTTACAGGAGATACATATGCACTACATATAATGTTTTTTGAGTCACTGTGCTTTATAAAATCTTGGACATCAGTCTCTTTAAACCTTATTCCTACTCAGTCTCTCCATTTTTATTTATTCTTCTGCTTATGTCTACTACAATTCTCAAACCTAACTGGGATTACTGATTTCATACTATTGTATTAGCTGTGGTGACATGTTTGGATTCCATACTCAGTATTTGAAGTCTGATAGGGCAAACTTCTAGGACATTCCAAATTGTAGTTGTGGCAACATTGTCTCAAATAGCATATGCCTAGAAATCCCTCCAATCCTTGATTTATTTGGTTTCTTATAAGGCTTTTTTTCTACCCATTTGAGTTCTTTGTCATCATTGTTATTAGATTTTTATATTGTTTTCACATCAGTTGTAATTGTATTTTCACAATAATTTCATCTACTCAGGCCAGCCACTGATTCTATTTTCATTCCAGATTCAGGTCCAAATTCATTTTTTTCTAAATCATAGAGACAAACATTTTTGAGAAGAATACTTTACAAAAGTTAGAAGTAAGGACTTTGAAACTGTTATTACAAATTCTTTATTAAATTAGTTTTTAGCTGCCCTAATAAAGTAAGTTGCCTGTCTTGCTTAGGCATGTGCTTCTTTTTTAGCCATTGCCTGAATCCCTAGGGTCCACCTTCCTGGTTTCTAGCCAGAAACCATGGGCTTAAGTTCCCCTGCTCTGCCATGTAGTTCCTGCAGTTGTGTCTGCATCTGGTGCTATGTTTTGGGAGGGCAGAGAAGGAAAAAAAGTGATAAGAATTTGCCCCATGCTTGTGTGACCATAGTGCCTCTGGTCTGAGGGTTTGATTCCTCTTCTTTTCCCTTCCTTTAGAGTTTTAGGTGTTGTCTAGTCACTGCTGCTGCACTTCACTTTTGCGTCCTGTCTTCCTTACTGTCACTTCTGCTTCCACAGAATTGCCTGAGGGTTGGGGCAGAAGGGAATATGAAAAAAAGGAGATTTCTTCACTCTGTTTGACCTGGAGGAGTTCTTTTTTCATTTCTCAGCAGAAAGAAGAATCTACCTTGATACTAATGTCAAGTTAGGTTCTAAGAGTCATCATAAGTGCATTTGTTTATAACTCCAAGTGAAGCATTTCTTTGCATTCTTAGGTGCATTTTCTAATAGGATTGCAAATCAGTCCTTTGAAACTTTAAAACCAGGCCACTCTTTTCTTCCTGATGAGATATTCTGTAGGGCAGTGATTGTAAAACTTTATTGGCATCAGAATCATCTGAAATGAATAAAGTAGAAAAATGTAAATGTCGTAATCCTATTGCTCACACATTTTTTTTAAAACAAATACTCTGAAATTCTTGTAGTTACTGGAATAAAATGAGTTATTTTTATTGCTTTTGGTCTCTTGCCTTCAGTGTTTGATTGTCCTCAATTACAGTTCGCATGTTTATTACTTAACATTTTCTGCCCTTTTACTGTTACCAATCTGTCTTTAAATTGGATTTCTTTTAGATATCCTGTAGTTGACTCTTATATTTTTACCCATTCTGACATTCTGTCTTTAATAGTTCAAAATTTAATGTATGTATTGTTAAAATTTATCAGCTTGCTATTGTTTTCTCTAAAGCCATTCTTTTTGTCTTTTTTCTGCTCTATTCCTGCTGTTTTCTATTAAATTGTTCATTTTGTTTTGCATTTCATCTCTACTGTTGGTTTTATTTTCTTCTTGTTCTCTCTTATAATATACATTGTCATCATTCATTTTAGATATTGAATTTGTCATCTCTAGAAGTTCCATTTCATTCTCTTTTATGTGGCCCATTTTTCTCATACTTCTGATTTCCACCAAACTCTTGTTAATATTTATAATTACCTTAATTATAAATTATGGTGTCCTTGTTTTATCATTTCTGAATCCATTTCTATTAACTGATTTGTGTTGGTATAACTATTTTCTACTAATTTTTGATGGAGTGTAGAACATTGTCATTGTTACATTGATTGTATGGATTTTGTTATCTTCCTTTTAAGAGTGGTAGGTACTTAAGTTACTCATGGATCATCTTGATCTCTTGAGGCTTTTTGCTTTTTTTCTTATAGCTTTAGTAATGTGCATCTAAAATGGCTTTTACTCAAGAGATAGTTTAGTCCTATTACAAAGCCCCTCACAGCTCTCCACTGAATGCCCTAAATGGTTACCAAGGACTGTCTACTTTGTCTGCATGAGTATGAATTTTGGGATTGTTCAATGTGAAACTCTCCTCTATTTGCCCAGCCTTGTCGAGTTTTACCCTGTGCATGTACCTACTACTCAGCAAAAACTCAAGAGGACCCACGTGCAGATTTCCTTAGCTTGTTCTCATTGTAGCTCCTGTTTCATCATAATTCTGCCCTATGGACTCATCACTCCAAATTCCCTGAACTCTGATCTTGATCTCTATTTAGGAATTACATTTGCCCTGTGTACCTGCAATCAGGAGATGCCTCTAGTTAGAAAGCTGGGTTGATGGTAGAGATTACACTTCTCTAAGAGTTCACAGTCCTGTACTTCTGTTGTCCAGAAACCATTCTTTTTGTTATTTTGTCCAGTTTTCAATTTATGGTTGGTGTTCAGAAACTTTATTATGTATAAATATTTGGTATTTTTTCTTAATTTTCCTTAATCTTCATGGGTTTATTTTTATATAAGGAGTAGTAGAATCAGTGTGTCTTAAGTTTAAGAAAAAATACTATTTTTGTTTAATGTTATCATGTTAAATGTGTCGATAAATATAGGGAGAACTGTTAACTTTTAGAATTTTGACCTTGATATCCAAGTACAGAAGCATAAACCTTTCTAATGTACATACAGTTCTATCATTTTAAGCTAGTATGCTAGTTTCCCTGTTTCAAGGATTTTTACCAAAAATAGATACTGTTTATTCATGCCCTATTTCTATGCAAGTTGTCACATTTTTTTTTCTTTTATCTATCAGTGTGGTGATTTTTATTTATAGATTTCCTAATAGATAACCCATTACACATTCCTGGTATGAAGCCCACTCAATCATAGTCATTATTACTTTAAATAAATTGTATCTTACATGTTGGTATTTCAGTTTGGATTTGTGCATAGATTCTTGGATTACTTTTAACTATTTCAAAATTCAAATTCCTAGCTCTCATTAGACTTCAAAAGTTCTTATAAAGGGAAGAATTATATCATTGTGGTTACTTTTAGCACTAACTAACTAAATGTATTAGTGTTCTTGTTTTTATTTCAAAATAATGAAGAGAATCATTTCTGATTGATCCTGTATTGTTCATCTTGCTTATATTACAGGAATTTTTTTGGTAAGGAGAAATAGAATTCTTTTTATTAAATCTTCTCTATAAAATGTGCTTGTTTATAAAATATAGGTTGAACCTGTACTTCTGTGATCTAGAATTATAGAAAAAAATTTAACCATTTATTCACCATGTAGAACTCTTAGTTCTCACTAGTTCAATTACATGAATGTTTTCCCTCTTTACAGGTTCAGTTTAACTTGCAGTTTACAAAACCAAACACATCACTAGGAGATACTCACTCGGGAACAACTAGTAATGTGCTTTGCTCAACTGATAAGGAAAAGTAAGTACTTGCTGGTAAAATTTAATGTTTGCAATTTTGTAAGTCTTCATAAAGAATTTTTAAGTGTTTGAAAGCTATGATGCCCACTTACTTATCTATGATATTTCAAGTTGATGAGCATAATTTTTTTTGGTATCATTAATCTACAATTACATGAGGAACATTATGTTTACTAGATTCCCCCCTTCACCAAGTCCCTCCCACAAGCCCCATTACAGTCACTGTCCATCAGCATACTCAGATGCTGTAGAATCACTACTTGTCATTTCTGTGTTGCACAGCCCTCCCCGTGCCTCCCCGCACATTACACATGCTAATTTGTAATGCCTCCCTTCCCCCACTCCCACCGGTCCCTCCCCTCCCACCCATCCTCCCCAGTCTCTTTCCCTTTGGTTTCCCTTTGGTACCTGTTAATCCATTCTTGGGTTCTGTGATTCTGCTGCCGTTTTGTTCCTTCAGTTTTTCTTTGTTCTTACACTCCACATATGAGTGAAATCATTTGGTACTTGTCTTTCTCTGGCTTACTTCACTGAGCATAATACCCTCTAGCTCCATCCGTGTTGGTGCAAATGGTAGGATTTGTTTTCTTCTTATGGCTGATGAGTACAATTTGAGTTACTCTTAACTATAAGAAAGATTTCTCCTATTTTTTAAGCTATAGGATACAGTTAGACATATACTAAAATTTTATTTTTTAAAAGAGATTTCCTACATAATTGAAGATCACTCTTCAAATGTTCTGGGGCAATTATATAGAAATCTGTTTTAATTCCTCATATCAGCTGCTTTTGTTTTTGTTTTCCTGCATTGGTAGGTCTGCCTATGGAAGTGCTGCATTTTTCTGAATGAATTGCTTCCACTGTTAAATAATCTGAGAAACCAGCTAATTAAACTGCTAGAATTCTTTGGTAATAAGAGTAAAAAGGTTTGTGAGATTGTTCCATAGCTAATGGAACTTTAATGCTTACTTATGACTTCCTCACAAATTATTTATTAAAGTTTGTTGCGTCAGTGAGTTTTGGCTAAATTAAACAACTCATATATGCTAACTTGTATCTGGATAGTCCCCATGTTTACAGTATTGTTTTCTTAAGACTATGCTTCCTTATTGACTTAAAATCTAATTCCTTTAAGGCCTGGCTGCTGGCAGTCATTATCATGAGCTATCATCATTCCAGTGTATTGCAAACTAAATTACTAAGATGGCTCAAAGAAGCTTCTTTTCCCAGGTTTCTTTCCTTTATTTATTGGTTCCTCTAAAATTGGCAACAAGATGAGCATTAACATAGTTAGTTTGTGAGCCTCCTTTATTAAAAACGGTCAGATTTCTTTTAAGTCCTGAAATGAATGTATTTGTTGTATTTAATCTCTCGTTCAAGAGGCAGAGCATGTGGAATTCATATTAATGGTAGAACACCATGTTTATATATTTATGTGGAATTCATATTAATGATAGAACACCATGTTTATATATTTAATTGCATCATACACACCAATTTTACTTGCAGAAAATATCATATCTGAGGTACAAAATCAAACATAATCATGTATCCATAACATTAGGACTGTTCATTTTGAGTTTTTTCCTGCATAGAGTTGGTTTGTTCCTTTATTTGTTGTCAGCAAGTAAAAAGTGGCAATGGGTATCAAAGGTTAAAGAAAAAAAGTTAAAACTGAAAAAAATGCCTACTCACACACAGTTCTTTTCTGAAAATTGGGAAGAAACATTGTTTAATATAGTAAGGGATATAGTGTCATTGCTTTGCAAGTACCTTTGACTTCTTGTTACAAGTGAACTATTAGAGAAACTAACACCAGACAGATTTTGAAAGGATATGGTGGTAGAAAGGGGAAAAATAGAACTGCAGAATCCTCCCCTTTTTTTTTTTTCAAAATTTTGTTTGTATTCATCTGACTGTACAGTGTATATTACTACTAATCACAACTTTGAAGCACTACAAAATTCTGAAGAGTTTGGCCAAAGGAAAATGAAATCATTCATTGATAGGAAGTACTAAAAATATTCTGAAGTCTCAAGGCATGAACATGTGTATTTTTCTTTCATCATGTATCACGCACTATTTAAAATTTTTATAGTACTAGAATATTCATTCCCCCTGCATTCTTTATCCCACCTCTTAAGGAATTTTTAGTGTTGTTATAATTTACTCTTTACTGGAAGAAAGGTACTTTGGCTTATAAATAAGTTATTTGCTTAAGAAACCAGTGAAAATTTTGATTTGTTTTGAATAAAGCTATAAATATAGTTATATTATGTACGGTGTATGTATGTCTATAGATAAATCTTGAAACTGTTAAACCATCAAAATTAACTACTAAAAAGAAAATAAGACTGTTAAATTAAGTAAATAATTGCTATTTTCCTTTTAAGTGGTGAAAATTTAGGGCTGGAATCCAAGTATCTGAAGAAAAGGGAAGATAGCATTCCTTTACGTGGACTCAGCCAAAATCTATTTAATAATGCAGGTGAGAAGACATTCCTGAAATGGATTATACACTGTGGTTTAATTAAATGTATTTTATAAAGATGTAGGGAATACAAGTAATTTTTTTCTCCTCATTTGCAGACCATCAAAAAGATGGCATTGTAGGAGCATCACAGACATCTTCAAAACCCACAGTCCTCCCTTCTGCATCTTCAGCTTATTTCCCTGGGCAGTTATCAAACAGTTAAGCTTAGTGTCATCTTTTACTTCTTATTGAAATTGTTGAAATTCACATGGTTTAAAAATATATTAGCAGCATAGATCAAATCCTAAACAAATAAGTTTCAAAGTTTACATGAGTTACTCTTACTAGATTGTTTGGATCCTATCAGTACTGTTGTACTTTATGGCAGTTTAGAGGAACAAATTTATATTGGGGATTGGTGAAGATTCTGAGTATATGATGCTTTCTAGCTTGTGAACCTGGTGTTTTACAGAATAATGGTATGAATGTTATTAAACTAATCCTTAGAAATTCTCAGAAGTTCTAAGGGAGGAATTAATCCTTGTAAGGGACGTTCTAATTATATTGAATATCTGGGTCCATCAAAACCTCAGGCATAGTAATATCAAACCAAAGAATGCTAATGATTCATATTATCACTTTCATTGGCATAATGTTTTGATTTTGCCACCTGAGAATTATGAGGGAAAATGATTATCTCAAGTTATCTATATTGTTGATATTTACAGTAAAGGGAAAAGTGCTAAAACTACCTTGAATGAAATGATTTAATCTTTCATTGTGAGTATTTTCCTTGAAACCTTTAAAATTAACTGTTGAGTAAGTCTACTAATTCAATTTGATAATTTGGACAGTGTATTTACATGACCAGATTAGGTATAAAGTGCTTTAATTTAAGTCACTTGAGCTGCAAAGTTTATAGGATTTCATTGCTTCCTGGAAGTCTTAGGCTCATCCACTTATTTCTCTTTCATTTGGTGTTTTATTGTTTATGCAGATCTGTATTAGTGGAATTTTGTTTTAAAAATTAGTACTATACAGAATCAAAGAGCATCATGAATATGCACTATTTGTTTTTTATAGTATCAAAGTGGGCTTATCTTAATGTCTGCCTAATAAAACAGGCAAAATAAATGTTAGAAGTTTTAACTTTCTCCTTTTCCCTGTAACTAAGTTTTAAGTAAGAATTGTTCCTTGGACAAAATGTTAGGTGATTTTAAAAAATTAATGTAGAATCAGTGTCCCCTTTTTTCTTGTTGGACAACCATCCAGTAGAGTTTCTCAAGAAACCTTCAAATCAGTTTTTGTTTGCAAAGATTGCTAGTGTTCACTTGGTATTTAAAAAGTATTTTCAAGGACCTTATTACACAGATGAAAGAGACATTTCAAGATAATAATGATGTACCAGTAATACTGGATTCCATGGTAAGACAAAGAATCTTTGCCAATTTTTTTATGAAGGCACAATATTGTATATTATGACACTTGGTAACTCTGCTGGCAGTTGCAAGCTGTCTTAAACCAGGGATCTAATTAATTTAAAAGACTTAGTAAGTGTAGGTAGTGACTTTTTCTATACAGCTTTTATTATTTAGATATACTATATTAGTAAGAACACTTGGTTACAATAACTTAAAAACACCTATTAATGTGGAAAGATGCCTCTTGGTGATATTAGAATCTTTCTTGTAAATACTATGTAATATATATATAACACGGTCACAGTTTGTGAGGGATGTATGGCATTACAGGTAGCTCTTTTTTTAAAAAATTGCAGATAATCCTCCTCCATATCCACACATGGAAAACAGAGAATATCCAAAAGATAGGATAGAGATCATTTTGATATGAACTTGCTAAAGATTTTTTTATATTAACAGACTTCTGAGTGTGCTAATTCTTTGCTCTACCTCTTAAACTTATTTGAAATTGTGTTGTACAATTGTACATGTGTTAATAATCAAAATGATGCATTTAATGTATTTCTGTAAACTGTGAGCTTTGTTAATAAAAAGTTATTATTTTGGGAGTACTGACATGTAAAATAGTATGTAAAAACAGAAGCAGAATTGATCTACAATGTCTGTGCTTAGAAAATTAAGTACTTCCAGTTAATTTATGGACTAAATTTTCATTTCCTTTGTCTTTCTACAAGAATATTTTAGAGTGAGGGAAAAGAAATAGATTCAAAGGGAGAAAGCTCAAAGCTTTGTTACTCTAAAAGTGATTATGGTAACAAAAAAAGCCAAAACAGGCCTAGTAGGGAATCACAGATCAAGACTTCCTTTAAAAAAAAAAAATCATTAAAATATTTAATTTTATTAACAGAATATTTACATTTCTTTTAAGACCTTATTTAACCATAGTGAATGTTCCAAGTTTAAAAAGCATTAAGCGGTAACCACACACAAGATGAAAACTGTGTAAACTATACAATACTTTATATACAATTTTTACAAAGTAACACTTCTTTAAATAATATAACCTGACACAAAAATATACACTTTAGAGAAATTCACATCAGTAATTGTATAAAGCTCTCTTCTAGGGTCCTGAAAATTTAGGACAAACATTAGCTCTGTAAATAAAGTGTTACTGTGACAGTCCTGAAAGGCCAATATATATATTTATCTACATATAGATATCACATTGACAATTTCAAGGCTACCAGCATTACTAATATAATTTTTAGATTATGTATTCAAGTGTTGAGGTTCTTAGGATTATGCAAACATTAAAAGAATAGTGGTACAAGTAGCTGAGGAACAAATTTGAGCCAGCATTTAGATTTACAGGCTCTAAACACCCCAATTTAAATTCTAAATGGCTGATATTTTGTCATTTCAAAAACTGAATGTTTAAAATTAAAAAAAAAAAATACAAAAAAGGTTGAACATGATTCATATTTAGTACAATTTTCTTTTTTTTGTTAATACAAACAATTCATCTACCATTTCTTTACTTTAGTGCATCTGCATTAAGGCTTTGAATTATTTGACCCAAGATTTTACAATATTAAAATCCGACTCAAGATTTTACAATGTTAAAATGAACAGGTCTACACCCATACTACCTACTCTGTCTCACTGTGAGTCAGCATAAATAGAGTTAAAGCTCAACACCTGAAGGAAATGGTAGCAGAGACATTGCTAGTATCTAGGAAGTTACATATATAGTTTTTAATTTTAATTAAAGGATGTATAATAAAACAAATAGCTTAGTGGCAAGAAATTGGTGCTAATCAACCAAAGGTTTCTTTTCAAAAGAAACTGTAACATCTTTGGAAAACTGTCCTGTTCTTTCTTTAGTTCCCACGGAGTTCATGCAGATACATTTCTTAAGACATCTTAAAGTACATTGTAGATGGAAATGGAATGTACATCCAGAACTACAGGTGAAAACTAAGACCTGGGTGCTGATAGTAACATCTTCCTGATTTCGATCGTCACACATTTGTGTCCTGCAGTAAAGGTTCTTTGGCCTCTCCTGGCGCTTGTGTACTGTGAGGATGGCTGTGACTGCCACAGTGTTTTCTCCAACTGCTGGGCCGTAAGCTTAAATTGGTATGTTCCGGAATAAACAAGGCAACAAGCAGAGCCAGCAGGACTGAACAGGCTCCAAAGAGGAACGGGGGGCCAGGGATAATGGAATTCTGAGGCAGAAAAAGACAATGAGGATTTTAATTTTAGCACAGACATCTTCGCTCCTAAGTAGAAACTGCCTATCTTTTAGTACTAACTGATTGCTATGAATTATAAGCCAAAGGCGTCTCTCTTTCTCCATTAAAGCCACTGTTAGAAAACATACTTGCTTTTTAGGAGAAAAGGGACACTATCATACTCTCAATATAAATTGCTGGGGATAACAAATGAACCAAGAAAAAGCCAAAAGATTTTTTTAAAACAGCCTGTGCAAAAATACCATACTGTTGCTTGCAGCACAAAATCTGAACATATTTTGTGAGCCTTCACTTGTTTGTTCAAGAGGAAAACAAGAAGATGTCAAAGTAAGATCAAGTAGCATACAATATGAACTACAGGAGCAGAATCAGTGACCATTTTCTGTGTTTAAAAAAGTAACTGTTAAATTCTCCAGTGACTGAAAGTGGGGAAAACACCGATAACGCTGTTCCCATGAGAAGCAAACAGCCTTTGTTTCAGCCCCAAATCACATTCATCATTAGCAAAAGCCTGTCTTACCAGTTTCACCTGTGTATAAGCCACAAACAAACATTATTTTAAAGCAGTCTTAGCTGGTTAGGAGATTAGTGTAGAACTCTGCTAAATAAGGAAACTGGTGAGCTGTTTGTATTGGCGAGAAGATGACAATGTTTGCTGGTAATATTTTCAGTTGTAAGGAGGGAAATGTGGCAAACAAGTGGTGAACAAAGATGTTTACCAGCACTTAACTGACTCTTCATACAGAAGGCAGGTTTAATATAGGGAACTTAATATATTAGGTGTATATGACAAATTAATTTAAAATATTTCATTTTTAATTCTCCAGAGAAAAAAAGCCAATTTCACAAAGAACTGTACAGGAGAACATAGTCCCTTAGGCTTTGTTTTTTAAGTGCTTAATTCAATCTAAAAGAATACAAATCTTAATAAAAGCTTTAATGCCCAAAAAACCCTTATCATCCTTCAATCAAGCCAAATAAACTGTTTTTATCATGTGAGCAAAGAGTCACCTGTTCCAAGTGGTGCTGTGGGCTGGTGTTTGTCCCCAGGTCTGCTCCTGTCATTGGCAGTTCTTTCAGTTCCACATGGAATATATAGAAAATGAATCCATAAAGAGCTGGTCCCAGACCATTGCACAATCCCCGGATTCCTGTTATCATTCCTTGAACGACACCTAAATTGTTTAAACAGATGATTTAGTTATGTAAGTGTATATAAATTAGTGCATTTTTTTCCTATCCTAGAACCAGAACAAATGTAAATCACTTAAAGACCAAAAGTTTCTATCAGACACTAGCAATCTTCTGTGATGCCATTAAAAATTACTTAGAAGCCATCACCTCTACAAAGTGTAATAAGGTACCAGATGCAGATGTGAGCTCATGTATATCTGTACATAGGTCTCGTGCAGAAACAAGTGGCAAAAGCACTGTATTTCCCTTTAAAACATTCCCTGGCTAACAATTAGGCATGAATCCAGAAGCATAACTGTTTTAAAAAAACTCTGTTTCCAAGTAGCTTCTTAAGTCAAATGTAGGCAAATGGTAAAATTTTTATCTCTGGGATCTTCTCTCAAATTTAAAGTGCAATTTGCTTTGGCCAAAGGCCTTTCTCTCCCTGTTTATCAACCAAGTGACCACTGCCACTCATAACATTCCTTTTTCCCTTAGACTATATAAAACATATCCCTTTCAAAAAGTTATTCCTCGTCTGTTAGCATGTCAAACATTTAAATGTTCTGGCCACAAAAGCCCAAGACAAAAGTATGTTTTTCGTATCTTTAGATAACTGGAGCCATCAGATTTTAGTAAGAGGGATGTGAGTGTATCCCAAGGTGTCTAGCACATCATAGTGAAATAAATAGTGAGTATGAAGTGGTCAACCTTCATCATCAAATTTTCTAGCAGAAGAACAGACAAGACCACATACTCAAAGTGAGAGGCCAGGATATATATATTTATCCATCCACTCAAGCATAATACCCTAGAATCTGCTTTTCCTTTTTACAATGAAAGCAATTTAAAATTCTCTATCCTGAAGATACACTTACATTTCAGTATGTAGGGAAAAGATGTAACTCAGAAGACTAGAATATTCTGTGCCTTTTAACAGTTATCAGTTCCTCTCAACTCACCTTGTTGATCAGCATCAGCAGTTCGTGAAACAAGTGCACTGACAGCTGGGAAGGTAATGCTGGACATGGCTGCCACCGCCCCTGCAGCCCACATCATCCTGTAACCAATGCCAGCACAACAAAGCCGGTTAAAGTCACTCTCCACCATACTGGTCAAAGTTGAAATACATACTTAAAATAACTCTTACTGCAAAATGACAAGTACAGGGAAAAGGGAGAACCGTTCTTGCTCTTTGCCTTCCCATGTGCCTCTGGGCAAGACACTTAGTCTGTCCCTGTTTATTCTTGAAAGCAGAAATTCAACCACTAATTCTCAAGAATGGTGTGTTTTAATGTAGAACTGGGATATCACATTCCTGTTTAGTATGTTGGGGGTTATTTCAGTGGGAGTGGGGCTATGTTGAGAATAATGTATAAAACACATAAAAGAAAACATCATTAAATGTTTCCCAACATGTAAAGCCAGTAACTCTTCTGGCAAGGTTCCCACAGACTTGTGATTCAGTGTGAAGATATCACTGACCTGATCTAACTCAGAAGATGCTCTTGGCTTGATGTTTAAAAAACATGCTTTAGATAATTTAAATTGTGAGCACCTCTTTGTAAAAGTTAGACTGGAAAAAAAAATCCATTAGAACATACTCCTGGTGCTCAAGTCCAAATAGTGATGTTTGCAGTTGAATGAAGCATCAGTGCAAACTGTGGAGTCGGTTCTGTAATACCTTAGCGTAAGGTGTGAGGTGG